AAGCCATCGCGGACTACGTACGGCCTAGGAATGTTAAAGAAGTCCAACGATTTTTAGGGTTATGCAACTACGATAGGGGGTTTTCTTCTAAGTTCGCTTCTTTGTCAGAACCGCTCACCACTTTGCTACGGAAAAAAAATCGCTGGGTCTGGGGTGAAGCTCAGGAAAATTCGTTTAGGGCCATGAAGCAAGAGTTGCAGAAGATAACGATGCTGTATCATCCGGATCCCTCCTTGCCCTTCCATTTAGTAACTGATGCGTGCGACAATGGAATTGCTGCACAGCTCTTTCAGTTGGTCGAAGGAGAAAAGAAACCAGTGGCGTGGGCCAGTCGTTTGCTCCTGGATCGAGAACGACGGTATAATTCTAATGAAAAAGAAGTCCTTGGAGCGCTATGGGCCATCCAGAGGTGGAGAACCTATTTGTTGGGAAATACCTTCACCCTGTATACGGACAGCAGAACTTTAACTTACCTAAATAGTTGCCGATTGCTGTCACCTAGGATAACTCGCTGGGCATTGGCACTGCAGGAATTTTCTTTCAGGATAGTCCATGTTTCTGGAAAGGAAAACTACGTAGCTGACGCTCTGTCCAGGCATAGCTGTGTTAGGTTACCAACCCCATCCAACAAGAACTTCAAGATTCTCACTCTTCAGCTCCCATCTGCCGTTCAAAAATCCCAAAAAAATATAGTCCATCATCAGACGGAAGACAAAAAATTATCGGAAAAAAGAAATCAAGTTTTATCAGGCGATGAAGTCTTATTTCTACAGTCGTATTCAATAATTTTCTATTCGAATATGGTAGAGTCGAGAATTCGTTTTTATTGTATATTCCCGAGGAACTAGTGATCACCTGTATTAGAGGATATCATGAGGCCATCGGTCATTTTGGACTTCATATAACCCATTCCGCAATGAAGGACGAGGTATATTTTGCAAATATGCAACGTCGAGTGAAAAAAGTTATAAAATCTTGCGATATCTGTCAAAAATCTAAAATTTCAATATTACCAAAGCCACCTCAACAACAAATTTTACCTACTTCTAAGGACGATTTAATCGCGATAGATTGTTTAGGTCCATTAATTCGAAGTCGTGGGGGTGTCACGTATATTTTGGTCGTGTTTAACGTTTTCACAAAACATGTAAAGCTCTATCCTTTGAAACGAGCGACTACCAGGGCCCTTTTGAATCGTATGATCTCCGATTATCTACCAACATTCGGTCCAATTCGAAGAATACTTCACGATAATGCTACCCAGTTCACCGCGAAACTTTGGCGGGAAACCTTTGAAGATCGTGGTATAAACTTAGTGTATATTTCTGTTAGACATGCTGCCGCGAATCCGAGCGAACGATGTATGCGCGAGATAGGTAGGATTATGCGAGCCTTCTGTTCCGAACATCACGCGAAATGGGCAGTGGAGTTGAAACTTTTTGAAGAATTCTTAAATTCTGTGGTTCACGAGACGACAGGCTTTACTCCCAATGAGTTGCAGTTGGGGTTAGAAAAACCAAAATTCTTACCAGTTAGGGTGCAGCCACCAGATTACCCGAAAACTCTAGAACACGGCGAGAAGCTAATACTTGCCGAAGCTTCACTGCGTTCCAAAGCTGCACGTCGCGCCATTCTACATCCGGGGCGTCCGTATGAAAAATTCCAACCGGCTGATAAAGTCCTCTTAAAGGCAAACAATATATCGTCGACTGTAAAGGCTGAAACCAAAAAATTATTATTATTGTTTGAAGGTCCTTTTTCAATTAAAAAACGTATACGGGAAGATACTTACATTTTATGTCAGTTAGATGGTCGCGAGAGGGGTATGTTCCACGCGAGCCATTTGAAAAAATATTTTGAGCCGCCATAGATTGTTTTCAGGTGGTGAGTTCTGTACTTCGTACCTTCGCTCAAGGGAGGGGGGTGGAGATGTAACAAATCAATGTCGCCGCCCATGCTCTCTTTTAAATATAATAATAATTATCAAATATTCTTCGGGAGGCTAGGCAACCAACTATTCATTCACACAGATTCAAAATCCGTGTGCGCGCCTAGGTTCAGTTGTTGTGGAGAGGGGATTTTCTGAAATGGCTTGCGCTGGTCATTTCACTCTCGAACGGGCAGTTTTCTCAACCAAGTGAATAATAATTTAACATCCACGTTGATCGAACCCAAATTCTGTGTTTTTGGTTTCCTATGTGCCCAATGTTCCTCTGGAACATCTTGGCCTGTGCCTGCATATGATATTTAGGTGGGTAAAACTCTTTTATATTATTTTATGATTTGTTGACCGACCTTTCAGGTCACATGTTAGTTGTACCTACTTTTCTTTGCTCCTTTGTAATTTGATCGCCCATTATATCAAGTGATAGACTGTCCTGGTGCTCATTAGTGCATATGATATTTAGGTTTTCGACGTCCCTCTCAACCCGAGATCTTGGTGAACTTTTGAAGTGAATAAATAGTCTCCTGAACCATCCATGTTTTAATCAGTAAACCCACCAAACCCCTGAGACCGTTACATGCTTATGATCTATAAGGCACAGATCCGACCTGTCCTGGAATACTGTTTCCATATTTGGAGTGCAGCATCCAAACATACCCTGAAATTGTTGGATTCTGTCCAAAAAAGGGCAATTCATCTCGTGGGTGATGCCTCGCTCACAAACTCACTCACTTCTCTGGAACACCGCAGAAAAGTTCACAATCTGGCTCTATTTTATAAATATTCTCATGGACGATGCTCTTCTGAAATATCAACGATTGTTCCTCCCTTGGCATTCCACGCGAGATTAACCCGTCGAGTTGGGGCTTCGCACCCCTTCGTGGTCACTGTGGAGACCTGCAGAACATCTCTTTCCAAAGACTCGTTCATCCAACGAACAGCGAGGCTCTGGAACACATTTCCAAGTAAGGTGTTCCCCGAGGCATATAACCTCCAGATATCCAAGAAGAACACCAATTCCTACCTTATTTCCCTTGGTTCTCACAATGTTCTCTGAACATTACAGGATATCCCTTTTCGTGGGTATCGAAACTTAAAAAAAAATGCTCTGAGGTTGCTCTGAGCAGCTATCACTGAAAGATTTCCCAGAGATCCGAATAGTTTCTTAACGAAGTGAAATCATGGAATGCCGCTTCAACTGGATCAGTCTTTCCAATACACTCATGTCGAGAGCCACTGATAGCCTTTGTAAACTAATTAAGCCAGAAGGACTGTGTAGGGTTTCGCAACGATCTGCCTTCCTTTGACCATCAATCGACCGTAAAGAGAAAGCTCTATTTAATCGGATGGGATCATTTTCAATATGGAGTAACGAAGGCAGGGGTTGAATCGAGGATTTTAGAGGATTGCATTAGGCATATAGGTATGTGTCTCGACATTCTCTAGAACCGTTCCAATAAGATTGATCGATGATATCTTCTTTGCTGTCATTTTATAGTATTGGGAAGAAATATTATTGCAGCTATTTGGTAGATAGATGTGTATAATAATCCTGATCCATTTTCACGCCTCAGAATAATTATACAGGGTGGTAAACAAATGTTTGTCGATTCACAACTTTTTGAACTGATTTAGAAGCCGTTGCAAGCAATCATAGCATATATTCGTGTTTCTCAAATCTCTGCTGACGAATCAAACGAAAATACAAAACACCTCAACATCCTACGTTAAATAATGCAGAGACAGAGAGTCGGTAGTTCGTTATTCCCAAGTTTATGAAATATGCAGAGAAAATTAACTCCCATTCCTGTCTTTCCTCGGCTGTCAATATGAACTTCTTGAAGCAATGAAAGCTCTCTAACAGTGGCGTCGCGAAGATATCATTTTTGTGGTACCACCTATCGTACCTTTGATGGGCCGAATAACCAATATGTAGTGGTCGACGGAGTTTCATCTGACTCTCTCATCATAAATGCTTGTGTTCCGCAAGGATCAATTCTAGCACCAACACTATTTCTACTCCATGTCAGGAAATTTGTTGGGAGCAACTTCATGTCCAGTACACAGCTTCGCGGATGATAGTACCCTCTATACCGCCTTCTCTTCCAGGGCTCCAATACCAGCCAGGTGAATCAGAAACGAACGAGAGAAAAATGTTGACAACATAAATAAAGACTTGGCAGCAATTCTCGCAATAACTTGGTAGATTTCAATGCAAATAAAACACAAGCATGCCTTTTCTCTAGGAAAGCCGATCTCACTGTGCCCAACATGAGCTTGTCAGAAGTAACCATACCTTTGAAGACAATCATTTCGATGCTTGGTATTACTATCAGCAGTAACCTTTCTTGGGAAAATCACGTGAGATCAATTGCTAAAAGTGCATCCCAAAAACTTGGTTTTCTGTTTCGGGCCAGGAGCTATTCCACTTCCAGTCAGCTGCTTATGATCTATAAAGCACAGATCCGACCTGTCTTGGAATACTGTTCCCATATTTGGAGTGCAGCACCCAAACATACCCTGAAACTGTTGGATTCTGTCCAAAAAAGGGCAATTCGTCTCGTGGGTGATGCCTCGCTCACAAACCCACTCACTTCTCTGGATCACCGTAGAAAAGTTTGCGATCTTGCTCTATTTTATATATATTTTCATGGACGATGCTCTTCTGAAATATCAACAATTGTTCCTCCCTTGGCAGATTAACCCGTCGAGTTGAGGCCTCGCACCCCTTCGTGGTCACTTTGGAGACCTGCAGAACATATCTTTCCAAAGTCTCGTTCATCCAACGAACAGTGAGGCTCTGGAACACATTGCCAAGGGAGGTGTTTCCCGAGGCATATAACCTCCAGAAATTTAAGAAGAACACCAATTCCTACCTTATTTCCCTTGGTTCTCACGTTGTTTTCTGAACATTACAAGATATCCCTTTTCGTGGGAACCAGAACATAAAAAAAAACATCTCTGTTTTTTATTTCAGCGATGCAGCGGTTCACGCCCTCCAGTTCCTCGATGTCATAAATATGAAGGATCCTACACAGAAGTCGCATTTTTACAGGAACACTCTGAAGGAGTCATTACCCTTCATTCCTAAAGTAAGTTTCTGATTTTTTCTGATACTGTTTGACATAGACTCTCGAGTTTTCTGAAAATTTTCTCCGAACGTGTTTACTCACATTCAATAATAGTTATTTATATACCAAAGACGAAATACTGTCTATTATAGTCAAGTCTGCAAATTGATAGCCGAGGCCTTAGCCGAAACGAATGAGAAAATTAAACGTAAAGGTATGTCTCCACCCATGCAACACAGACCAACATAGTTCAACTTTGTTGAAGATACAAAATGTCTAAAACAACTTTCACCAACAAAGTGTCTCCACAAAGACAACAATGTTGCATGATGTTGATTTTGAGTTTTTTAAACATGCAACCCCAATAAACATCGTGTATACACCTACCAGTGCAACACAACACAGTCAGCCATGTTGTACGACGAAAATGAGGTGATTTTCGCGGCCGTGGCTCATTTTGTTATTTTTGATAATAATAATAATAAATAAACGAAAAACCACGCGTGAGTACTGGGTTCGCCCAATTTAAAAAAAAAATAATTGCTGAAAGGCGATCTTCTTTGGGGTAAACTTCGAACAGATGGCAGTTTAAAGAATCTTTTCCGTATGTCTAGTTCTGATATGGAAGGTTTACTACACACAACAAACGTCAACATTATGTTTACTACGACATAAACAATATGCAACATAGTACAACAAATAACAACATGATGCATCATAGTGTGACTAAACATGTTGTTGTTGCAGTAAGTTGAACTATGTTGCTTTGATGGAGACATACCTTGATAAACAATTAACAAATTGTTGTTACAGAGAGGTATATAGAAAATTGAATCTGATCTGAATCAGATAAAGTATTGTCCTTTTTTGATTTATACATATCATTAGTACTTATTTGTACATTTATTAGTAATTTTGTGAAATTAATTTATACAGAGCGAGCTGAAATATCATGCAATTTATAAGTAGTATGTGATTAACTGAAGATGAATAATAATATAGGTAGTAGAACTGGGCAGCGGACGAAGTGTTTGCGGACGAAATGTTGGGGTCTATATCACGTTGACTACCAAGCCTGATTTCAACATTCTGACCCAGGGTACCATATGTATCACCGGTGATGCTTTTTCATAGTTCACTTCTGTACTTTATGTATCACCAGTGATAATGAACACATATTATTTGAATGCTTGTAGAGAAGCCTAGTGTATAAACGAAGGAATTAGATTGTGGGTATGGTACAGGTATGAAGCAAATAATATCGGGTTGCAGTGGGTATCACTAGTGATACACATAGATCTGGAGAATGCCTATAGAAATTGACTGGATAATTCTGATGAAAAGACGCACCGCTCACTCTCTTGTCAATTTTGTATTGAAATTGTTACACTTATGAGTAAAAAATAATCATCAATAATCATTGTACAAAGAAAATACCAATGTTTTTTTTGAAAACAGTCCAAACAGTATGAAGGTTTCTCGGGGCATTCCGCGTAAAAGGTGGTAACCAATTTTGTATGTTTTGCTGCCATCTTTGAATTTTTGCGTACTCCTCGAAATACGTTTTTCGTCTTAATTGTCCATTATTTTCTCATGAAGGTTTGAATAAAGGTGCTTATAATCGGAGAAAAAACAACAAAATATAAGGAGTTCCCTACAATCATATGATGAAATGGTTCATTTATGTACCATGTGAATCACCGGTGATCTTTCAGCAAACTCTATGGAGATGAAGGCATCTGCTTCAAAATACAATATAGCGACATCTTGTAGCGAAAGGCTACGTTTTGAGTTTGATTCTTCACTTGGTACAGAGAGAGAGAAAGTATGCGATTGTTTACGGTGGTTTGTAGAGCAAATGAGAGTGTGCATCACATGAGACTCATACGGTAGCCAACGTGATATACGGCCTAAAAGTAATTGCTTTCGGAAATAGACTATTACAAGAGAATATTATTATAAACTGTGAGAATAATCTGAATACATAAAACAAACACTATAATTTTGATGAAACATATATTCTGATGAATTCCAAGTCAGCCTATGATTTCCTTCGAGGCTGACATATTTTTGGGTCTATCTTGAGTGATATTGAAAGCTCATTGGCTTTTATTTCGATTCCAGAAATTGTGGTATCAACACGTATGGCCTTCTCTCCAACAGGAAATGAGATCTCAAGAGGTATTGGCTGCTGTTTTGCAGCCCGTTTTATATTTAATACAGGAATCTACTGTCGAAGAGTACGCGTCCATAATACTTCCGTCCTTTAGGTACGTTGAATATTTCATAGCCCAGGTAAAACAAGTGAAAATCATCTGAAAATATTGAGGTAGCTTAATTTGTTTATGCTGAAACGTGAAACACCGTCTAATGAATATTCAGAGGGGGAAAAATGTTTTTGAGAGATAGCCTATACAGTCTGTCCAAGATAAGGTTGAACAGCATGGGGATCTCGGAAACGGTAGGAGATACGAAGTCGCTTAAATGGGGAAAAAGTTGCGCATTCGGAGGCTCATATCAAGAGCCTTGGAAAATTTCGAAAATTATTTTTAGTTTTTGGAATTTCTATTTAATTTTTTTCCTCCGTTATTATCAGAGATACAGAAAAACTGAAAATACTTTTTCATTGCAACTTTTGATGAGGTTTAACGTGGTGATACCGATTTTTTTATGCGACGTTTCGTATTCGTGGAACCATCATCAACTTTTGTTTTTTAAATACGGTCCTGATAATTTTTTCACAGATTCTGAAAGGTTTTTTTATTCTGAATTCAACAATGTACTATACGAGGTGATTCGAATGTGTTTCGACCTATTTCTATCCATCATCAATGTTTTTTCGAACTTCCAAAAGAAAAAAAGCCATCAGTTCCACTTATTTCTTATCATTTAGTGTCAAACTAGATGGATTAGTTATCCAATACTGAAAAGTGAATAAAAAATATTTCACTACATCATTCGATCAATGCAGCGTTTAAAATTGTTGATGAATTCTTACACGGATTACTTTAACAACTTAACTTTGACAATATCTACAGAGACATTCGTTCAAAATGATAACCATTATTTTCTGAACAAAGATATCCTCTTCTCACAGTTGTTTCTAAGACATTGCTAAGCATTTCTGGGGTTATTCTATTGAATGCTTCGAAGACACTGTCCCTTAGTTCTTCTTCATCCTCAAAGTTATTTGCGTGTACAAAGTTCGATATAACCCCTAATAAAAAATCCAGCTGTGTTAAATCAGGCGACCGCGCCGGCCAAGGGATAAAAACGCACGGACTTCTCTGGAATTATGTACCGGAGCGCCATCTTGTTGAAACCAACAGAGTTCTGAACTTCCGCAATCGGTAAATCATCCAGAGCTTCCTCAAGATGATTCTCAAGCAAATTTCTATAGCGTTCGGAAGTCTGTGTTTCATGGTAAATAGAAGGAACAATAATTCGTGTACCAAATATTGCAACCCACATATTAAAGCCGAAACGGTGTTGGTGTCTCGCTGTAATGTATAAATGTTCATTTTCTCGTGAACAATAATGTGTATTTTTTCTATCGCAGCTACCATGATTAGTGACCATGCTTTCATCAGTCCAGATGATTGTTCGAAAGAAATCTGCAAAATTTTAACATTTCCTGGTATACCACTCACAGAATGTCTTTCGCCTTTCGTCATCGCCTGGTTTTAGCGCTTGACATATTCTGAATTTGTATAGATGGAATTTTTGTTTCCGCAAAATGAAATGGGTTGTTGATTGAAACCAGTTGATGAGGTATTAGTGTGTTGACTAATTTTCCTTCAAAATAAGTGGAACTGATGGCATTTTTCCTTTGGAGTTTCGAAAAAACATTGATGATGGCCAAAAATAGGTCGAAACACAAATGAACCACCTTGTTTAATACATGGTTGAATTCAAAATGAAAAACCCCTCTAGAATCTGTGACAAAATTATCAGGACCGTATTTAAAAAACAAAAGTTGATGATGGTTCCACGAATACGAAACGTCGCATGAGAAAATCGGTATCACCACGTTGACCGTCATCAAAAGTTGCTATGAAAAAGTATTCTCAGTTTTGCTGTATCTCTAATAATAACGGAGAAAAAAAATAAAATAGAAATTCCAAAAATTCACTTTTTTCGATATAACTCAAAAACTAAAAATAATTTTCAAAATTTTCGAAGGCTCTTGATATGAGCCTCCGAATGCGCAACTTTTTCCCCATTTAACCGATTTCGTATCTCTTACCGTTTTCGAGATCTCCATGCTGTTCAACCTTATCTTGGACAGACTGTATTTACGTTTGGATTGAACGATACTTTTTTACTGTTGGTAGTTATTTCAGTATCTCTTTATTTTCCAAGGGAATTCTCTAACTTCGGTGTATCGAAGATCAAAGGATGTTTGCAAAACCGCATAATGAACAATGTAGGTAGATATATACTCTGTATATAACTTTATTATTAACTGCAGATTGCTATAGTGGAAATGAACACTGATGCATTTGGATTCGAAAGCTCTCAAGATTCAATTTCTTGTTGAATCAATAACAGCTTCTCATTTATAGCATAATGTAATCGCCTCAGCTCCATCACACAGTATACCGACTTTTTCCCCAATACAGGGTCTTTTCAAAGATGACGCATCTTTTTTGACAAAGTGTAGAACAAAATGAAGCAGTTCACATTTGAAATCGCCCAAAAAAAGTGCAGCATAACGGATTCATTACCAAATACATGAAAATAGAATTGATTGTTATCACGGATCTGGTGTCGTGAGCGCACCATGATCGATCTTTACGATCTTAAGTGTATAGACTTTGAGTATATTCAGAGACTCCAGTTGTATCCTTTAGTTTGTGTATTTGTGTAACGAAATGTGGCGTTTGCCATTGTTATACAGGGTGACTGTAAATGGTTGGGCTCGGCTGTGGACTCCTGGGATAAAAACAAGTTGATTCAGGCCAACTTACCTTTATTCAAAATCGTTTTGTTGAGTTGGTACAAGGCGTCGAAGTTTTTTTGGAGAAAAATAATTTTGCTCATGAAGAAAGTAGGCTGAGATCGATATTAATAATTTTTGGAAAGACATGTTTCGTGACTGTAAGTCACGTTTTGAGATGTTTTTGATCATCATCAGTGACCTGCTTCAGCAAATACTTGCTTTCATACAACCATGTTGCCGTACAAATTTGATGATAACTTCTCAGAGGTTAGAGTGGTAACTTTCATTTGTTTTTTTCAGAAAGATATTCCCTTCAGAAATATTTTCAGTATCGTGTTAATTTTTGGAAAGTCTTGAGGTTCATTCGCAAATATCTGATACATCCTGCGCATTTTTGAAAATTAATCTAATTAGTCGGACTGTTTATTGATCATGGCTACAATGTATTCTTATTGTGAACAAACTGGTCCTCGCTGGCTTCACAAGAAATCTCGCGTTACAAATATTGATAACTATTCAGGACCTAAGGTGAGATTTTCAACGCCTTGTACCAACTCTTGGATATAGGTGAGTTGGCCAAAATCAACTTATATTTATCTAAGGAGTCTACAGTCAAGCCATGTCCCAACCAGATTATTTTTCTGAAAAATGTACAAGATGCCTCAGATCAGAAATTATTTATTTGCAAATGAACTCGAGACTTATCGAAATTGAAACGATATAAGAAATATTTCTGAAGGAAATATCTTCCTGGAAATAAAAACTGGAAGTTTCCAGTGTGACCTCTGAAAAGTTATCACTAAGTTTGTACGGCAACATAGTTGTTTGAAACACTCGCAGGTCACTGATGATGATGAAAAACATCTCAAAACGTGACTTACATCAGTCACAGATTATGCCATGCCAAGAATTATGAAAATCGATCTCAGCCTACTCTTTTCATGAGCAAAATTATTTTATTTCCAAATAAACTTCACGTCTTGTACCAACTCAAGGAGACGATTTAGGATAAAGGTGAGTTGACCAAAAATCAACTCGTTTTTATCCCAGGAGTCCACAGCCGAGCCATGTCCCAACCTTATACAGACACCCTGTATATATAAGAAATACATTGAGAATTCGCATTCTCTATGTTATGAAAATATCAATTTTCTCTCGGTTTATTCAACAGAAAACAAATATTGTCCTGGCTATATATGCCACGACGAACATTGAATTATATCCATTGAACACACACGATAAGAATTTGAAAACAAAATCTTCTGAAGTTGAGAATTTGCATTCTCCTGCAGATAAAAGTATGTATATTCACATAATATCGGATAAAATAATATGATGCATCATGATATAAAAATATAACTTACCAATAAGTTCAATATTGAAATAAATATTGAAATGTATAGGAGGAGTATACTTGTATAAACTCTGATCCAGATGAGCTAGGAACTTCCAGAACAATCATTCGTATCAGTAACCTGAAGTCCAGTTATTCTTTCAGCCATTCTTCATGATATACACAATTTTCTTATCTCTATATTATAACTAATGGTGCATTTATGCAACATTTGCATAGTCCTAGTCTTAGCTCTAAGCATAGTTTCAGTATCAATTTTTGTCTTAAAGATTTGAGGTATTTATCCAGGAACATAAAAAATTGATGTAAACATAAGAATCATGTGAGAATTTGTGGATCATTTTGTTTCAGAGATGAGTGAATTATTTATCAAACTTATCAACATCTGGGGTTTCTCATAATATTATTTTCGGAACCTGTAAACAACAAATCATTAACAATTCTATCAAAGGAGCATGCGCCGAATCCACATAACATAAGCCTAAGCATAACATTTCAAATAATTCAACTTCCAAGGTCGTTGGTCGTTTCTTAGGCTTGTGCCTTGTGCTTATGCTTAAGACTAAAATTGGTGTGTAAACGGCCTCATGCAAGTACCTCTTGTTCCAACTTCTATAGTGTCTTATGACTATGAAATCCACCATAAAACTATAACGAACTGACATCTGAGAATTATTATTCATTTGTTGATATACTCCTGTCATCTGGATGCACTTGTTTTCGGATGTATGACAAATTAATATTCATCATACAGGACGTGGAAAGGAAATTCTGAAGGAAAAAATTCCTATAATATTGAAGAGATGCAAAATTTTGTTGGTGGTTATACTAGATAGCTAGATCATGCTGGATGAACTGGATGTACCTTCATGACGCATTTTCATTTGTTTTCCAGAGGTGTCTTTTCAGCACCTAAGACTGTACAAGCAACAGTAACGCTCCTAGAAAATTTGCATACGATATTAGAAAAAACCCCTAGAGACGACGTTCGATCAGAAGTTTTACCGATGCTCTACAATGCATTCGAGAGCACAACGATCCAAGTACAGGTATGATATGATATTTTTGAATCTTTTGGAGTGCACGAGAAGGAATCCCTATTATGCTACATCTTCCATTAACGACAGGTAGAACAAATAGTTCAATCAATCAATCAACTTTCTAGCAAATATTCAGTTTGTTTATCCATTCTTCAATGTGTTCATTTGTTTCGCTTATTCTGATCTTATTCACATAAATATTATAGGTTCGTTTTATTGAACGAACTTCTAAAACTGGTTCCAACTTTTCATTCCGTCTTCTCATACGGAATGACAGGTAGACGATTGTGGTGGGAGTGTATGGAATGGCGGAAATGGCGGTATTTCAGATACTATATAACCTCAAAATCTGACTTGAAAATTGCCTAAAAGTGAACTCGCCCCAGGAAATATTTTGGAATTGTTCTCAATTCTACCCAGAATACTTTCAAACACTTCTGGACTCCTGAAATGATCTTTGAATGTTGATAAACCCATACCGTTTCATAATAATTTGGAATTTTTGGTATGACATTGCTAGGAAATATGTCAATTATATCTGTTGATAACATCAAAATACGAGTATAGAATCCTTTCAAGTATTGAGGGGTCAATTTCATTGATAAATCTCAATGAATTTTGCCATCTAACCTAAATTATAATCATGTACGGATGATCAGGAAGATCCCGGATTCCCGGAAATATTATATAACCTGAAAAAGATCAGCTGAATGTCACAACTCTCAAAATGAATCACATCGTTTCATTGGTCGTCAATACTACTACCACCAGTGGAAAAGCAAAAAAACGCACCTATTGAGAAATACAGGGTGTCCCACGACGAATAAGACACAGAATATCTCTGAACTCGAAAGTACTGGAAGATTGTAATTTCATGGTTGTGAATTTGAGCAGTCGGTGCAGTTTTTTCTGATATTTTTTCACCCAATGAGTTTTTTGTTTCCGGTCACGTGACATCAGACTCAAAAATGTTAATGGGACAACCTGTATATTTTGGAATTTCTATGTTCCTCTTGATGAATCGATTCCAAGAACTACAGGTACTTGAATATTTTTTGTCCCACGACAATTATACGACAAACGTGTGAAACTAACAACTGCCAAATTATGTATGTTTAGGCTCAACCTGTATATTAAAGCAGTCCTATATTCTTCCTGGTGATGATAACTATGATAATTCATATTTTACTAAAAAAACGTAGTCAAAAAACATTGGGACAAAAGATATTGAAGTACCTGTCGTAATAACGACAGGTACTTCAATAATCTAATAAGATTATTTGTTTCAGACCACAAGAATAGTTTGTTGAAATCGTTCCATCGGGAAGAACATAGAAACGCCAAAATATACAGATTGTCCCATTTGAAGTTTTGAATCTGATGTCACTTGACCGAAAACAAAAAGCTCATTGGGTAGAAAAATATCAGAAAAAGCTGCACCGATTGCTCAAATTCACAACCCAAAAATTAAAATTTTCTATAGTACTCTCAAGTTCCGAGATATATTCTGTCTTAATCGTTGTGGGACACACTGTATATCCATTAATTCCGATATAATCATCAACATTCGTCGATTTTCAATTGAATTTTTTCCGCCTAAAAAGGACTACGAGTAATCAAAGTTTCCAGGAGTTATATCACATATTATCTTCAATAAGATAGGAAAGATAAATAGTACATTATTTAACGAGCACGGAATGATAGTGATTTCCTCCGAGAATAGATTATGCAGCATGAGCATCCCGTGCAAGTTTTACACTATAATTTTTCTACGGCTATAATAGATATGAGTTTTTTTGAAATAATAACACAATGGAATCATTGTGATATCAGATACGGAATTGATATTGATGACATACAAAGTACCTCACTGACGTATCGAACACAGTAAACAAGAGCAATTTTGTGTTATAGCCGTAGAAAAAGAAATTTTCAACCTCATCATTCGAAGTTTCGGATAAATCGCCTCTTGATTATTTAAAGAGAACAGAAATCGCAAAAAAGTTTGAGAGAGACAGAACTAACATGCCTCAAAATTCTCTGTGGTACCACTTCATACCAATTATTTCGACAGAGTGCTGCCCTAGTAGCGGTAACGAACATATCAGAGTACTTAGAAGACGCAGCCATCAAAAGAATGATCTTACCAAAACTGAAAGTGATATACGAGAAGAACCAATCGGATCTCAAGTTAGTGTCCAATGTACTTTCCTGCGTAGAGAGAACCCTCGACAGACTAGACAAATCCCAAATAATCGACGAAGTACTGCCTCTGCTCTCCGACATACGACTGGCTGATCCCCAAATAATACTGAGGGTCGTAAGTGAGTACAAAGTGACGATCAAATATCGAGTGTCAGTAGATATACACTGAAATCGTCATGAATTCAGCTTCAGCCAGAGATCAACATCAACATCGATTAACATGTAGTAGATGCACCATCAGAGGATTTCTGAAACTCTGTAAAACATCATTCAATAGCAAAGGCAAAGGTGAATTCATGTGAGTTTCATATATGTACAGTGTGTCCCACTTACCATGCTCACCATGGGTATCTTTTTAACGGTGAGAGATACGAGGTCGGTTAAATGACACCAAATGTGGAGTTTGTCATGGCCAACTATAATGTGAAAAAATATTTTGATAAAATCTATTCGTTTTTGTTTTATACGCAAAAAAACAGATTTTGATCATTTTCATGTCTCCTCCGTAACTTCTTTATTTATGAAAATATTCGAATAGGAATTTCACATTCTCATGGCAGTTTCTCAAAGTGATTTAGAAAAAAAATATAAAATTTATACCAACTCTTCTAGAATTTGAGATATCAGCACCAACTTTAGTTTTTCAAAAGTAGGTCATAGCTCACTATGACTTAGTTACAAATATTTTTTTTTCCTCTTACAGATGATATGTCGCAGTAATAGTTTTGTGTTGATTACAACGGAGTTATCGTCATTTATACAAAAACAAAAAATTATTCGGGAGCCGTCATCTTGAATTTATGAATTTCAACAGGAAATTCATGATCTCCGACCTCAAAAACCCCCACTTACCAATTTTGAATGGAATCGGACCAAATCTTGTCCGCCATCTTGGAGCAGCCATTTATTTTTAATTTCAACAAAAATTCCATAACTCCGAATAACTCGAAATTTGGCAGATGTTCATGATTTCGGTGACAATACATCATGGAATTTTTTATTATGGCAACTGTAGAAACTTCACAAACAATAAGATTTAAACAAAGTTCTCAATCACACGACTTGTTTCGCTAACACCAGTAGCTTTCACCGGAAGTAGTTACTAGGGTTTTCTAACCAAATTAATTTAGATTCAAACACGTGCTGGCTGTTTGCCCCATCAATTTCATTGATATGTTCTATAAGTAGCGCTTTCATAAGGGCACAGGGAACCCTCTTTTTTTTAAAAAACCGTTAATTTATATGGTATTGTCAAAACGAACCTTTTGGCAATACCCTTCATATACCATTTTGGTATATGAAATTTCAATAGTATGCGCTCTGAGGGCACGGGGCCCTTCATTTATTGAGAACCCGTTTTTTCATTAAGAATTTGATTTCCCGACTATGGGCATCAACAACAATTCAGCAGTAATTAGGTAATTCTTTCACTTCAACTTTTATTTTGTTTTTGTATTGTAGAACTTCCAATCAGGCTGAAGATAGTATTTCATGACTCCGAGCATTCATTCCTCCCTTCCTTCGGGTTCTTGTAATCCTGTGTTTCCCTTCATGCAGACATCTATCGACTGATGTTGGCCGACAAGAAATACGGTCTCTCCATAAGCCTGATGGCCACCAAAGTGATGCCATCGCTTCTGCCGCAAACCGTCAACCCTTCTCTCAATCTGGAACAGTTCACCATCCTCATCGAGGTCCTGCAAGACATGCTCGACCAGATTGATAGGAACCAGCGGAACAAGCTCAAGCTGGACAACCTGTCGCTGCCTAGTCCCGAGAGGCACAGGCCTCTGAGGCATCAGTTCAGCTCGGACAATATGCACGTGCCGCCGTTCAACATTCCCAATTTGAGGATAGAACAGAGGAAGACATCTAGTGCTGAGGATATGGCCAGGAAGAATTCTGGAACAGGTGAGAACTTTTTGTTTCCTCTTCAATCAGTCCTTCAGCCAAACGAATGTGGAGAAATCCAAACAGCTCTTTTTTGGAACACTTTGTGTGACTTCTAGTACTGAAGATATGGCCAGGAAGAATTCTGGAACAGGTGAGGACGTTGTTTTTTCCTTCATTAGCATTGGACATTGGTCCTTCTAGTGCTGAGGATTTGGCCAGGAAGAATTCTGGAAAAGGTGATGACGTTCTCTCCCTCTTCAATGGCATTGGACATTATATAGTCATTCAGTCACAGAAATATGAAGAAATTCGAATAGCGGTTTTTCGGAACACTTTGTGTGACTTCTAGTGCTGACCAGGAAGAATTTAGGAACAGGGTAGAACGTTTTTTGTCCTCTTCAATGGGCTTGGACATTAGTCTTTCAGCCACACGAATGTGGTAAATTCAACTAGCGTTTTTTTAAACATTTTGCACCACTTCTAGTGCTGATGATATCGCCAGGAAGAATTCTGGAACAGGTGAGAACTTTTTGTTTCCTCTTCAATTCGTCCTTCAGCCAAACAGATGTGGAGAAATCCAAATAGCACTTTGTGTGACTTCTAGTACTGAGGATATGGCCAGGAAGAATTCTGGAACAGGTGAGGACGCTTTATTCCTTCTTCAATGGCATTGGACATTAATCATTCAGTCACAAAAATTCGAAGAAATTCAAATAGCGGTTTTTCGAAACACTTTGTGTGATTTCTAGTGCTGAGAATATGGCCAAGAAGAATTCTGGAACAGGTCGAGGACGTTTTTTGTCCTCTTCAATGGCTTTGGACTTCAGTCCTTCAGTCACACAAATGTAGAGAAATTCCAATAGCTGTTCTCTGGAACACTTCGTGTGACTTCTAGTGCTGAGGATATGGCCAGGAAGAATTCTGGAACAGGTGAGGACGTTGTTTTTTCCTTCAGTAGCATTGGATATTGGTCCTTCTAGTGCTGAGGATTTGGCCAGGAAGAATTCTGGAACAGGTGATGACGTTTTCTCCCTCTTCAATGGCATTGGACATTATAGGTATAGTCATTCAGTCACAGAAATGTGAAGAAATTCGAATAGCGGTTTTTCGGAACACTTTGTGTGACTTCTAGTGCTGACCAGGAAGAATTTAGGAACAGGGTAGAACGTTTTTTGTCCTCTTCAATGGGCTTGGACATTAGTCTTTCAGCCACACGAATGTGGTAAATTCAACTAGCGTTTTTTTAAACATTTTGCACCACTTCTAGTGCTGATGATATCGCCAGGAAGAATTCTGGAACAGGTGAGAACTTTTTGTTTCCTCTTCAATTCGTCCTTCAGCCAAACAGATGTGGAGAAATCCAAATAGCACTTTGTGTGACTTCTAGTACTGAGGATATGGGCAGGAAGAATTCTGGAACAGGTGAGGACGCTTTATTCCTTCTTCAATGGCATTGGACATTAATCATTCAGTCACACAAATGTGAAGACATTCAAATAGCGGTTTTTCGAAACACTTTGTGTGACTTCTAGTGCTGAGGATATGGCCAAGAAGAATTCTGGAACAGGTCGAGGACGTTTTTTGTCCTCTTCAATGGCTTTGGACTTTAGTCCTTCAGCCACACAAATGTGGAGAGATTCCAATAGCTGTTCTTTGGAACACTTAGTGTGACTTCTAGTGCTGAGGATATGGCCAGGAAGAATTCTGGAACAGGTGAGGACGTTGTTTTTTCCTTCAGTAGCATTGGACATTGGTCCTTCTTGTGCTGAGGATTTGGCCAGGAAGAATTCTGGAACAGGTGATGACGTTTTCTCCCTCAATGGCATTGGACATTATATAGTCATTTAGTCACAGAAATGTGGAGAAATTCGAATAGCGGTTTTTCGGAACACTTTGTGTGACTTCTAGTGCTGACCAGGAAGAATTTAGGAACAGGGTAGGACGTTTTTTGTCCTCTTCAATGGGCTTGGACATTAGTCTTTCAGCCACACAAATGTGGTGAATTCAACTAGCGTTTTTTTAAACATTTTGTACCACTTCTAGTGCTGAGGATATCGCCAAGAAGAATTCTGGAACAGGTGAGAACTTTTTGTTTCCTCTTCAATATAGCCTTAGACATTGGTCCTTCAGCCAAATAAATGTGGAGAAATCCAAATAGCTCTTTTTTGGAACACTTTGTGTGACTTCTAGTACTGAAGATATGGCCAGGAAGAATTCTGGAACAGGTGAGGACGCTTTTTTCCTTCTTCAATGGCATTGGACATTAATCATTCAGTCACAAAAATGTGAAGACGTTCAAATAGCGGTTTTTCGAAACACTTTGTGTGGAACAGGTCGAGGACGTTTTTTGTCCTCTTCAATGGCTTTGGACTTTAGTCCTTCAGCCACACAAATCTTGAAAAATTCAAATAGCTGTTTTTGGAACACTTTGTGTGACTTCTAGTACTGAGGATATGGCCAGGAAGAATTCTGGAACAGGTGAGGACGATTTTTGTCCCCTTCAATGGCCTTGGACATTAGTCCTTTAGCCACCCAAATGTGAAGAAATTCAAATAGCGGTTTTTCGGAACACTTTGTGTGACTTCTAGTGCTGAGGGAATGGCCAGGAAGAATTCTGGAACAGGTGACGACGTTCTTTGCCCTCTTCAATGGCCTTGAACATTAGTTCTCCAGCCACACAAATAATTTGATGTGACGAAATTCAAATAGCTGCTTTTTGGAACACTTTGTGTGACTTCTAGTGCTGAGGGAATGGCCAGGAAGAATTCTGGAACAGGTGACGACGTTCTTTGACCTCTTCAATGGCCTTGGACACTAGTCTTTCAGCCACACAAATAATTTGATGTGAAGAAATTCAAATAGCGGTTTTTGGAACACTTTGTGTGACTTCTAGTGCTGAGGGTATGGCCAGGAAAAATTGTGAAACAGCGAGAGGTGACGACTTTTTTGACCTCTTCGATGGTCTTGGACACTAGTTTCTTCAGTCACACAAATGTGGAGAAATCGCAATAGCTGTTCTTTGGAACACTTAGTGTCTATTCCAGACAGAGATGAATGATACATGATTTCTGACAAAGTGAATTTGCGCGAGATCACAGTTGAAAGAATTAATATATCAGTTGCCTCAGTCTCCGTCGGGCGCTTGGTATTTTCTTTTAACTACAAGATGAGGTTTCTACGTCATAAGAGGGTCCGTTTTCAGAAGAAATAAAACATTCCAGTTAATTTTTCGATCGAATTATGTCGTCAACCATTATTTATGTATAAAAGGATCATTATAAACATGGTTTGAGTTAAAAGTTCTACTAAGGTGTACACGCCCATTCCCAGGTGGCATGCTGGGCAGTTGGTGGTTCGGAGGCTCGTCTTCCTCCCCAGACAGCAACTTCCTGCGCGTGGTGAACTCCTTCCCCAACCGCAGACTCTCCGACAACACGCTGATGACGCCGAAGATCCGGGTGGCGCCATCTTGCGCCTCCTCTCCCGGAGGAACTCCGGGAGGCGGGCTGCCCATCCGGAGGCACTCGAGCATCGGGCCTCAGGAGAGGCGCGGGTCCACCGTCAATTTGTCGCCGCCCACGGTGAGTGGGGGGGATCAGGGAAAGTTCGATGGGGGTGGTAGAAGGGAATGGGGTTGTCACTGCTCCCGTCTCGAAATTCGTGGTGGATCTTTGATTCGGTTCTTGGGGTGATTGATATGAGGAAAAAATCTTTATTTCGCTAGATAAACGTCTAGCAAATTAGCACCAGACGTCTCTGAGGCGTTAATGGCCTATTATAAGTATCAGGAGAACGAAAAGACAGAACATTCTGGAAATTGAAATGCTTCGATAATTGAACATTCTCTATCCGTCTAGAATATTTTCATTGATACAGTATTGCCACTTCTATCAGAAACAACTAGCAACTTTGTTATTTCAAATAGACAAGAATGTACAAGGTGGACCAAATTGGATACTTCTAGATGGACAGTCCTGATTTCACAGTAGATATAAGAAAAGTTACAAAGTATTTTTAGAAAATGTACAGTCACAATCCAGTGTTTTATCATGAATCAATCATACATAAGTGCTGATTCTTGATAACTTTTCTCTGAGCTCTTCTCGTATCCTGAATTATAGATTATAGAATAGAGTGTAGTATAGAAAAATTACTGAAGATCTAGATCTACCTCGATCGGAAGAGCAGTGGCAAGCCAGGAGGAAAGAGAGTTGTCACTTGTGGGTTCTCAGGTATTTTGAAGATTACACAATACTATAGAAATACTATTCCTGTGAAATATTTTACTATAGGAGTCTAGGAAAAAAACTAAGTGATCTTCATAATTTGAGTGAATAAGTTTGTATCCATTTCTTGCTTATCTGTATAGCGCGAGAGTTCGGAAAGACAATATTCAATAAAACATTCCAGGTCCGGATTCATTTTCCTTCTCAGTGTGGATTCAAAATATTCCATCGGATTCTAGTTCTGCTAACTAATTACGTGGATCCGTGTTTACATCTTCTTTTGGATTCACACTGTGTGGTGTTGATGCTCCATCAATTTTTAGAATCTACTGCCTAACCTGACAAAATGAGTTGTGATCTTCAAATTATCAAGAACTCTATAGTACAACTGCTTATAGTGCATATTTAGAACGACAGTGCCCTGCGAAAAAACGGCTGTGATTGAATTATCTATTCAGATTTCAATCTGAGCAAGAAAGAAAATAAGTCATCTTCAGTGGCCTTCATTTTTGCAGTGCAGTGTATTAGGCAAATTATTCACATAATGTTGAACAAGAATGGAACTTTCAAAGTTGATTATTGAACAGATTATTCCATTTTTCATGTGAGCTAAATTTCAATGTCCCCATTCAACAATGAAATCCATTCATCTTATATCACATGAACGTTTCTTGAATTTCAGATTATCTGCCAATATAATTTCCGAAAATATAAAATATGTCTAATTTATTTTCAGAAGTTATGACTTAACTCAAGGTTTCTTGTTTATTGGTGAATTTTTCAAGGATGTTGACAAATGATAACAATATTAGGAACCTTGAGGCGTAAATAGGTTCTAGTTTTCCTTCAATCGGTAATTTTCACAACAAAAACGTTCATGATGAAATTAGTACTAGATATATTAGAAGTTGTAATAGTTATTTATTTAACAAGTGCTTTTGTAGGTCTATGCAGTAATTCATTAGTTAGAATTGGGTGTTTATTATTATTATTATTATTATTGATATATTCATCGTTCATGATCATCTGGTAGAACGTAATATTCATATTGGCAACTGTAGTGATGAGTGTTTCGAAAACAAAACCATTCTGATCTGATCTCACGTATTGAGGTTTAATTTTCAACATCAAATAGCTATAGGTAGAGAAGAGAGCAGGTAAGTTATATTATGCCAGCTCAACATGCTCAAAAGATCATGAAGATCACGTAATCTCACGTCACTGATCTGATTTTTATGATTCAGTCTTGCTCAACTCAAACAAACAGAAAGCTTGATTCACTGATCCAAGACAAACGAACACAAAGCAGTGGCACAAACCATTTCTGAACATAGCCTGATCTGATTTATTTCCAAATTTGTTTTGATTTGTTTTTGATTGGCATTATTCGTGGATGATGCCCGAATTAGCGTCTATTACCTCGGCAAAGTTAACAATTCAACTCTTCTTTGCCATATTCATACATCAGTGTTGCTTTTCTGCCATTTCCTTTGTTTTCATAGAGGCCTGTTCGTTTGTCATGCTCACCCTGTAGATAAGTGATGTGAGCAATATTTGATGTTCGTTTGTTTCGAGCAATTGATGATTGTTTGACTGGAGCAAGTTGCTATAGATCACATGAAGCAGGATTTATTTGCTCCGCGTATTCTCAGGGAGCAGAAAAATCAAATCAGATCAATCAAGTTGAATGACAAATGAAAACAAAGAAAATGGCCCTCGAATAATGCCAACGGTTTTATCACTTTAATCACTTATTATTTTCTCTCGATCAACATCAACTATCAAAACCTCCAATCAAAACCAAATCAAAACAAAATTAGGCTATGTTCATAAATAATTTGTGCCACTGCTTGTGTTCGTTTGTGTTGAGCAGTAAATCAAGCTTCCTGTTTGTTTGAGTTGAGCAAGAGATTAATGCTTCTACTGGATCATAAAAATCACATCATTGACATCAGATTACGTGATCTTCATGATTCTTTGAGCATGTAGAGCTTTCCGAATGAACTAGCATCATTTGTCTTCCTACTTGATCAATCTGATATGATTTTTTTGTTCCCTGAAAATTCGCGGAGCAAATAAATCCTGCTTCAAGTGATCTGTGGCAACTTGCTACAGTTAAACGAACACTCCATCATCAATTGCTCGAAACAAACGAACATCAAATATTGCTCACATCACTTTCTTGCTGGGTGAGCATGACCAACGAACAGACCTATTGAGATATAAGTTAATCACATATTTTGGTGAAATTTATCATGGGAATCGGAAATGAAATATAGGCAATTAGAACTAAAATATGCAATTCATGATTGAAATGCCTAATTTCATTATAATAGATCTTCGAGTTTTGGTAAATAAATGACTATTACGTTAAAGTACGGATTTTCGTACCGTGTTGACATCATGTGAAATGGTAGTCATTACATTTTATAACTGGAATAATAGAAACTCCAGATTTCTCAATTACTGAACAATAATTACCTCTGGAGAGTATATTTCCGTATAAATTAGTAATGCACTGCAATTCCAGAACGTGTTTTCACCAGAATTGCGTTTGCATGAATATAATTCTCATATCTTCAAAACATATACGGGGTTGTTAGGAAGTCGAGTATCGTTCAACATCTCTCAACAGTCTAACCACACATGAACAAAATATTGGTTATCTTTTATATAACTACCACACCAAATACACAACATGGTAAACTTAGACTTAACTGACACCCCGTATATACACACCAAATAAATATACTTGCGAGTTTTATATGTGTGCAAATGCTTTTTCTGGTGACGCAATCCGACAATTTGCACCACACAGTCATACAACACAATTCAACTCAGCCTCAACAATTCATATGATCTTGCACTCATTGAGCTCGACCATACCACGTGATTAGCTTAACGAGTCAGCAGCAGAAAACTGTTCGCACATAATATTGTAAATTTGGCTCTGGGACGAAATAGCGATGGTCAAACAAGCGACGAACAAAATAGCGCGCCAAAACAGCGACAAGACTAAATAGCGACAGACGAGATAGCGACAACCAAAATAGCAACAGACAAAACAGCGACAGGATAAAATAGCTATAGACAAAACAGCGACAGACAATCCAGTTCCCAGAAGTTCGAAGACAATAATATTCATGATTATAATGACACATTCAACATCAATCATACCAGCAGAGAGTCATTCAATTTTAGATGTCAATTGAAAGTCAAAATTGAACATAAACTTATAGACAATTTGTTCTTGAATGGCGTTATACACATTATTTTAAATGAGTCTCTTCCTTGTTCAATTATGTTTACACTTTGAGGTTGAAAATAGTTGATGAATTTTCAGAAGAAAATTGAATCTTCTCATTCACCTATCTACCCACGATGGAAGTTGATTCTTGTATGTTTGACATGTTCTTGATTATGATAATTGAATGGCATAATACCCGTCAGTCGGTGTGATTGTTCAGTGAATATGTGTCGCTATTTTGTCCTGTCGCTGTTTTGGCCTCGCAATTTTGTCCGTCGCTTTTTTGACCATCGCTATTTTGTCCCAGAGCCGAAACAGGCTAAATAGTGCCTTCAGTTTTTTGTTGCGTGTCATTTTCGACGCGACTGAACGAAATCTTAGTGATGATAAAATGTCTGCTGAAAATGGGTGATGCAAAAGGTCGTTCACGAACATATACACAGATACAGAGAAAAATTGCCGGTATACCTATATGTATATGCATTTAAATTATATTTCTCCCAATCTCTCGACCAGCACAAAGTTAAACACGCGATGGATGATGATGATTCCTCTTGCAGTCTGTTTGCCACTATCACAGTTTACGTGCGATGTTGCCGTCTCAGCAATTGTTTCCCCAAATCTAGCCTTTTTAGGATAAGTCAATGCAACGAATTAAGAGAGCTAAGGAACTGCCTTATCACTCTGGAAGTGGGGGGAAAGGGGGCAAAGCAAAGGCCCTTTAAAACTTATACGGAACACGAGTTTTATTCGAAAACTAAAAAAAAAACGTTGAATGGTAACTTCACGATGGGTTTACATTGTTTTGTTCCTTTTTCTGTTTGAGTCAAGTCACGGGGAAACTTTGTAATTTTTTTCTCGAAAACGGTTCATCGTAAAAAAAAACATTTCATGAGAGGTTATAGAGATATGACCTATATTGCTACCCATGACTTTTTTCGAGTCGATTCAACTATAAATACCCCAAAACTTGCACAACGTATCCCCGTTGAACGCACGCTCGTGAATGGCCTACACAGTAACCTCACACTTTTTTCAGACGAAAATACGTTGAAATTATTTCTCTTGGTTAATAACTGATTGTCTAACTGTTTGACAAGCTTTGGTATATAACATAATGGACGCGAATTTAGCAAATGTCGAGC